CTTGCCTTCTTTTCTTCTATATTTGAAGTATTTCAAATCTGTTCACTGCTGTTCTTTCCTGCTTGCGTGCATCCTCTGTCGTGGAGTTTGACAAACAAGAATCACAATGCAGTCGGCTTCTCCAGGTGATGAGTTTGAAGTCTTGCTGCACAATGGCGGATGTTGATTCTGCATCACATTAAAGAGCTCTGAGAGTTTCTCCTGTGTCTCGGCTTTCCCTAGACATTGTTGAACACTAATAAACTCTCTTCAAAAAAGACGACAGACAGGGGAAAGACAGAAGAGCGCTTTAAAGGCAGCCGCTGCTAATTAGCTGATAAATCTGACAGATAGCATTTAACAAGAAAATCTGGCAAACGCAACTGGAGGGAGGAAAAGGTATGAAGCTCTGTCATGCTCGCTTTAAACACCTCACAACAGAACTGAAAGAGAAAGCGTGTCGTCTGCTCGTGCTCATCCACCTGCGGATCTCTCCGTGTGTCACAGCAGAGCTGAGGTCAGACGCTTCTCCATCATCAGGACATCCTCATCCTCACTGATGCACAGATATGACAGCATGATTTCAGCACTGTGGCTACTGGTTTCACTGGAGCGCTCAAAAAATCAAATGCTGATTTATGTCAAAATGCCTAAAGTACAGTAGGTCTTGAAATGTTGTAACGATTTGCATGCTATGAAACTCTACAGAATCTTTACCATTTTTTTCTATCATGCTGCCCACAAACACCATGCATGCGAAGGCTGTTTGTTCGATAGATTTATGTCTAGGCAAATTAACATCTATTTGCATGTGGAAGTGTGTGAGGGTGTGCATAACAAATGATTAATAACCAGATCTCTGAAATACTTGATTCTGATTGATCCATTGCACCATTCAAGAGTGCAATAATTCAGGATAATGACCATGGTACAATCCCTGTAAAGCACGGCCTGTCATTACTTATTGTGGTGGTGGAATCCAACAAATAAAACATTCCTAAACATATAATCATGCACAGTTAGTTGGTATTACATTACAATGCTGTAACAAGTTGGACAGGTTGTGACACGCCTTCATCCTCAAAAACCACAAACACTGTGCAAGAAAATATGATCTATATTAAATATGGCTTCACTCGCAACACAAGTAAACTTGGTTTGCGTCGACCACAGTGTGTTTTGTGCTGTGAATTATTGTTTCCGAGAGCATGAAACACACAGCTAAGACAAGCTTTATACAACATTTAGCCCATTGTTCTGTCTGCTGCTGTTTATGTGTTTCCAGCAATCCCATAAAGTAGGACGGCACCAAAAACAAAAGTGCATTGTGGGTAGTAAGGTTTTTGGCAAAAGGAAACGCCGCAGACCTTTTTCTCTGTTTTCTCTTGTCATCTAGCACCAATTTCTGAATGTTTTTGCCTTTTTACTGCATAGAGAGCCAAGTTTTATTAAAAGCTCATCTTGCCCGCAGTGAATTACCAATTTAATGAATTTTAATTAATGTTTGTTACTTTTAAACCATGTTGGTTATGTGTTGGGTCACTTAAAGTCCAATGTTAAATCTGGTTCCTGAAGCAAAACCAGTTTTGACTTATTGCTTCATCTCACACACGCACGTTAATTAGTTAGCACCCTGCAGTAATAACCTTCAGTGAGTAATTACACAGAAAGGGTGGAGGGTGAAGAAAGACGACGAGAGAGAGATTCAGTGTGGGAAAATCAAGACCTACAGCTTTACTTCAACCAAAGGAATGTGTGCCACGTTCACGTCTTACGGCAGGACACATGAGACGGGAGCGTCCCATCGAGACGAGGACTTCACGAAGGTAGCACAGGTACGTCTGTAAGATGTCTGTTAAAGATCGCTTGATCTGGAAAGCATCTTCTGTGTGCAAACATCTGACAGACGTCTGTAAGAAGTCGGTTTAACATACATTATAAATCATAAACATCTTAAAGACATCTAATAAATGTGACCCTGGATCACAAAACCTGTCTCAAGTCGCTGGGGTATATTTGTAGCAATAGCCAACAATGCATTGTATGGGTCAAAATTATCCATTTTTCATTTATGCCAAAAATCATTAGGATATTAAGTAAAGATCATGTTCCATGAAGAGAGTTTGTAAAATTCTTACCGTAAATACATCAAAACTTAATTTTTGATTAGTAATATGCATTGCTAAGAACTTCATTTGGACAACTTTAAAGATGATTTTCTCAATATTTAGATTTTTTTGCACCCTCAGATTCCAATTTTTTTCTAATAGTTGTATCTCGGCCAAATATTGTCCTATCCTAACAAGCTTATTTATTCAGCTTTCAGATGATGTATAAATCTCAATTTCAAAAAAATTACCCTTTTGACTGGTTTTGTGCTCCAGGGTCACAAATGTCTATTTGACATCTGATAAGAAGCGTCCTATAGACGTATTGCAGATGAGCAAATATTCTTGTTTCGCAGTTCCCACTTTCAAAGAACGGCAGGCCGCCTCCTCTTCTCGAAACCCGGTGTAAACTTCTGAGTAAGCAAACTTACAGAGTACTTCAAAGGGTCCGGCGAGATGCTACCCGATAGATCCTGCTCTTCCAGGCGCATTAGTCCGGGGCTGCTATATTTGTCCCAGGAAGCGCGGGCATCGGTGAACTCTCCGAGGCAGGGGACAGAGGGTTAATGCCGCCCTGATCCCCTCGGAGAGTATTGGCTTCCAAGGGAGCCACAAGCAGCCGGGCAGCAGCCGGGGGAGATCTAGTGCCTGAGCCCTGCACAACTTGAGAGAAACTAGCAGAGTAATTTGAGCTAATGACTTAGCGGCAAGTTCTGGCCTGACCCCGGGCTGGGCTGGAGCAGATGCTGAACACGGCTCTCTAAAATGTGAAAAAGCTGCCCCCGTCTCGCTCTTTAGTCAACGAACTGCGAGTTAAGGCCAACTAGCCGATTAGCATTCTGGCCTGGGCTGCTAAACAGAATTTTAATTAGCGGCGATACCGGTGGAACTTCATTCGGTGGCCTCGCCGGACTTTGTCGCTAGATTTAGCCACTTTTCAGACCCCCTAGCGACAAATCTAGCGACTTCTTGGACACACACCTCTTTCTCTGCTCTGTTCAGAGGAACAACGTTTTCAGTTAAAATTGATATTCTGTTGCTTCTCTAAGTGTACATGCAAATATAGCCAAAATCACAGCACAGGCATTGTCTTTGTCTTGACTTATCTTATGTGTATGTGATTTAATCAGACGACGGCTCAATTATAAATCAGGATTTTTTGTGCAGATGAACATCTTGGAAGGGAGAGCTGGGCTGCGTTCAGCCCCGACAAAACGGTGCAAAACGTGTTTTAAACGGAAACGGTGGTGCGTTGAACACACTGTTCTGATGACGCAAGAGTTGCAGCTCTGGCAGCTGAGAAGGCCATTCTTTGTGTTCTTTTTGAAGAATTTTCGGAGCCTGATGAAATCGGTATAAATACGTGTTTAATACTGCAAAATACGCTCGATGTTACAGTCACTGCCCTTGCCGTCCAGAATAAAGGAGAACATCCCAATCAAATGAAGGGATTTGTGGAAACTGTGGTTCCTAATTATTGTGATCCAACATTTGCCTCGCATTTCAGGATGAAATGACAAACATTTCAGGTGAAGGATAATCCACTTCTTACCTCCGAGACTGTGTTATGATCTATATGACCTTATTATTTTTATTGTGAGTATTAGGCTTTTCATTATTGCTGATCACTGTTGTTGTGCTATGATATTGTAATATTTACCATTATATAATCAGAGGGGTATAGAAAAGTTTATGAAAGTGTCACTCCATAATAAAATAGCAAAATATATAAATATGTATAGTATTTTTATGTTATGTTAATCAGTGTCTAGCACACCTTCCTAAGGAAAGGATGGACCAGAAGACATTGCAATTACTAAATGATATTTAGACAGACTTAAAGAAGTTCCAGATCTATACTTGTGCTCTTGTTATTTCAGTTATTTTGCTTTTAATGTAAATAAACATGTGCAAACAACATACTTGCTCTTGTGAATTTATTTGGATGTTAATTGCATTGTGCCAGCTGTCTCTTTAATACCGCGTGGTTTATATACATGTTGCTGCTGATTGGGCTGACATGTTTGACACACCCACCAAACAAGAGAAAACGCATCTCAAACCCCGTTGCACACCGTTTCCAGGAAACATGTCGTTCAAACCGGAAACTGTAGCAAAACGTTGTGCACCGGTTTGAGCTTGAACGTGCCCCTGATTATGTAGTCTTAAAGGGCCACATTTCAGTCATTATTTCATATTAATCCCGTTGTCCGACAACAGAAACAGTAAAATATATAAATGAAAACAGTTTCATTTGGCTGTATTAAAATACAGTATGTGAGCACCGAGAGGCAAACAAATGTAAAAGGCAATACAACGCAATGACGTCACGAATATGCAATGACGTCACGTAATAGGCGTACGACGTCATCTAGCGACACTGAGCGACTTTTCAAGTTGGCTTTAGCTACTTTCCAATGAAAGAAGTTGGCAACACTGCGGGGGATACTGTGTTTGTCTGCAAGGCACCACCGAAATGTAATATGCGATGCTAAGAGAGGCACAGATGGAAACTGAAACGCGGAGAGAACGTGTGGCTTATTTTAAACTTTAGCCCAAGTCGCTAATGGGGTCTCGATGCTTGCCTCGGGTCGTGAGCCCGGGCTCATTAACGCGGCCATCTTTCTTGAATTATATCGAGAGAAGCGTGTGACGCGGGAGATCAGGAGAGATCACATCAGATCACGGGATCCTGTGAGAGCAGCAAAGATGATACCTGTGTGTGGAACACATGCTGGCAGGCCAAGCTGATGCACACACACTGCAAAACACTAATAGTGCATCACATTCTTTAATGTTTCGGATTAATTATGTGCATTTATTTTATATATGACCAAAAACACCTTATCACCTAAAAACACCAAATATTCTGTATATAGCAGTAATTTTGCGTGACATTATTCTGCCTTTGCTTTAATTTCTGCGTGCCATCTTTAAGTGCTTGTAATCATATATATATATATATATATGGGATCTTACTGTGAAAACCTCGGTGGGGTCTGCAGAAAATACACACCCGGTTTAGTAAAGGGAAACGACTACAGCGTTTGCACAGCTTAAACAGTTCGTATAATGTAGACCTGACGCTTGCGTTCGATTCTGGGAAAAATAAACAGCTGAGAAAAAAAAATGAAATAAATAAATGTCACGTTCAAACAATGAAATAACTTAAAACATGCGACGAATACTCGAAAACAACAACAGGCGCGATTATATTAAAAGTGCCTCAACTAATTAATTGCATATAGTTACTTTATTGGATAGACAATTGGTTAATCTACATGCAATCAGTTAAATAATACGCTGGCTGAGATCAGCAGCTGGATATATATGCACCCTTTACGCACCTTTTTTGGATTCTGCATTGGAGGCCCTGAAATGCTGTTCAGTCTGGTTTGGATTTGTCTTTAGCAGAGGCTCGCCGCTCTGTTTGTGCAGGAGTCCCTCTCCAGCTGAGTTATAGCGCAGTATCCCTTGGCTCTGCAGCGGACTGAAGTTGCCATAGTTCGTGTAATTACTATAAAACGGCGAGGTGTAATAAAGCGGTCTTCCTAATATGGAGGTGGCGGGGTACACTGCGCCCGCTGGAGACGCGCTGGACGCCGTGGAGGTCAAAAGGCCAACACCTGGGGGACAGTTCTGCTGCTGCTTTGGGTCCGAAGTGGCGATCTCGGCTAACGACCAGAGCTTAGGCTTGACGCTTTGGTTTGGACCGTCCAGGCATGTTTTGTTGGTGCTGTTCTCTCGGTGATGATGGGTCAAGAGAGGGGCCTCCACCGCGGTCAGAGGAGAGGAGGCCAGCGGCTTGGGTGACGGGCCTCTCTGCCTGTCCTCGCGGACCGTGTCCAGATCACTCGCGTCGCATTTGTCCTTGCTATCGGGTCCAGAATCACAAACCCGGTCCCCGGTTCTGCACGTGACCTTCTCGCCGTCAGATTCCACCGAGCACGAGTGATCTGTCAGGTGCAAACTAATGCCTGCGGACACAAACCACGCAGCCGTGAGTCACTGCTGTCAAAACTGTGCGAAAACTCGCAGGACTTCCCTTAAAATCGCATGTCTTAAATGTACAATTATAACTGTGTATGATCCTAGACCACAAAACCAGTCATAAGGGTCTTTTTTTTTTTTTAATCCATTGATGTATGGTTTGTTAGGATAGGACAATATTTAGCCGAGACACAACTATTTGAAAATCTGGAATCTGAGGGTGCAAAAAACATCAAAATATTGAGAAAATCGCCTTTAAAGTTGTTCAAATTAAGTTCTTAGCAATGCATATTACTAATCAAAAATTAAGTTTTGATATATTTACGGTAGGGAATTTACAAAATATATTAAAATCCTATAATGATTTTTTTTTTAGCATAAAAGAATAATCGATCATTTTGATATCGCTACAAATATACGCGTGCTACTTATGACTGGTTTTGTGGTCCATGTCACATATAATGAATAGAGCCACATTATTCAAACGTCAAATATTTGTACAATGTATGCAGTACATTTTACTTTTTATCGACCGTAAATGCATTTAAATTAAATTAGCGCATAATAATAATAATAATAATAATAATAATAATGCACCTTCGTCCTCAGCAGACGCTTCACTGTTGTCCATGTTTTTATCCGTGCGCTCGTCTTTTCTCTCCCCATCGCCGTCGTCCTCGTCCTCATCCTCACTTTTATTCCGTGGTGCCCATGTCACCTTGTTCTCCTTCTTGAGTCTTCTTCTGGCGTTAGCGAACCAGGTGGACACCTGCGTGAGGGTCATCTTGGTGATGATGGCCAGCATGATCTTTTCTCCTTTCGTGGGATAAGGGTTTTTCTTGTGTTCCTGCAGCCACGCTTTTAGCGTCGTCGTCGCGTCCCGCGTGGCGTTTTTCCGGTACGCGGGGTCGTTGAGCTGGTACGGGTAACCGGGACTCCCGTACGGGTGATAACTGATGGCTCCTGCCATCCCCGTAGTGTGCGCGTCATACGGAGAGCCCTTCAAAAACAACAGGTTTTGTCAGTCGTCTGTCTTATTATTTATTTTTTGTGCAGCTTTTTTTTTTCTTTACAACATAAAATAAATATAGCGCAAATTAAACAAAATAAATCAACGCTTTATGAATGCACACGAACTAATGATCTATTCTGCATTATGCAACGCTAATGTTATTAATGCATGTTATTATAAAGTGTAACCAAAAATATAATACTAATAATAATTAAGCCAATAAACAATGATTAATCCGTCATGCAATTATCAGAATGCACAATTACATGGGACTGGGGTGGATAACAGATAATGGGTAATTGCAGTCATTTTGCATAATCACCAGGCTGACTTCCCCAGTGCTCTTTCAGTGTCAGAAGCATATCAGTGAAGCGCAGCATTACAAATCCTATTAGAAAACCACTGGATATGGACCGTTTTACCCGCTTTCATGTGCCATGTCATTAGCATTGCAATTCATCAATTGACGATTAAATAGCGCCTATTTAGCCGCACATCCTTCCTAATCTCATCTCAAAAATATACTGTGCAGTTGCACACATTTTTTTTCTTATTATTATTAATAATTTTAAAATATCACAACCAATAATTTTAGCTATTGACTAAAAATAACGCGGCGTAGATCAGACCGTGCAAAAGTAAATAGTAAAAGTGGGCCTGAAGGAATTCCAAGACATATTTAGACGCACGCTGTTATTGTTTCAAATAAATAAGCACGCATTTAAGGCTGTCGATTTTATTCACGACCTTATCGCCGAACAAAATAACGTTTAGATCACAACCAGCTGCATTTGTATTCATGACCCTCTCGAGCTTCCCTTTGAAACACACACACACACACACGCGCGCGCGCGCGCTCATGCAACTCCCGAACCCGCAACCAAAACTATAACCATCCTATCATGCAATATGCATGCATTCCTATCAAGAACAATGCCTCGTGAATGGCGACGGCTCCAGCGCTGTTTACCATGTAGGACGGGAATCCCGTGGCTGGATCTGTGGAATAGGGCAGAGGGCTGGAGAATCCGCTGGCCGAGGCGGTGAACGCCGCAGATCCGGGGTACGGGCTGAACGCTGAACCGGAGGAGGACCGGGCCAGTTCCTCGCTCCTCGGGGCGGCCAGCGGGCAGGAGTAGAGCGCCAGAGAGCCAGGGGGCTGGTAGAGGTAACCCTGAGGATAGGACATTATCACAGCTTCTCCAGAACAGGGACGCGGCAGGGCAGAGCACGGGCTGATCGATGCAATCAGCGCATTTAACCAGCGCTCGCAGGGATAAACTAATAAAATAAAATAAATAAAAGCGCAAACGTGGAAGAGCGATCAGCGGAGTGCCGTCATGAAGATCCCCTAGCGTCCGTTTGTTTGTAGTGCTCGGGAGTGGAGAGTGAAGAGTTGCTGCAAGGAGCAGGCGAGTTTCTGAGAGCGCTGGAGAAACAGGAGCTGTCAATCACGGCTCATCTAAATATTCCGTCTCCGCCCCTCTCTCGCAATTCCGGAACAAAACCCGCACAGAAAGCCGCCTGTGCGTCCTCGCCGTCGCGTTTCCGTCGTTTATCTGCCGCATTTTTCTTTCTTTTTGATTTATTTCGGCGGCGGACGGATGACATGATGCCATCTTCCTTGTCATTTCTTTATAAAAAAAAATCACGCCGTGGCAGAAGAGGGTTTGCTCGTGCATTACAGCGTATGTACATACACAAGACTATGCAATAAACTAGACTTACTAAATATAATTGCGCATTGCTGTTACATTTGTTATTACATGTCGTTAAGAAAGTGCTTTTTTTTTACTTTTGTTAAAACTATACTGCACAGAACCTGGCAATGAAATGCATGCAATATGCAAATAAATTTCCCACCCCCAAAAAAATTATGCAAGCTGCATTTTTTCTTTAGTTTATTAGTATTATTATTATTATTATTATTTATAACATACATGGTTAGTATTGCACGAACGCAATATGAGTGATTTGTGCAGTCATGAACAGTAAATACAATCAGCCGTTGCTTCACTCCACTGACCAAGTTTTACCGTCAGAATTCAGTTGTTGCATTTGTAAATATGTATTGCAGCGCGCAGCTCCGTAATGTACAGTGTTTGTCTCTGGAGTGCTGGATGCTCGGAGCAGCAGTGCGCGCTCAGGCCGGTGGGAGGTGTGAGTCCTCTTCATATTTCTGCTCTCTAATCGCAGGAGGTCTTCTGTCCTGACAGCAGGAGTTTGTCTTCACATACCTGTAACATATATTCAGAACTAATGCAGCAGGAATAGTTTTCCTCAGCACATCACTGTTCGTGACGCGAACACACAAACTCACACCGCCAAATTATGACTGAAATAAATAACGGGCTGCGACAACGAATGTGAAGATTGATGTGCAAAACATGATTATTTGAATTTGACCTTTATTAGTATTGCTACAATTTCAAATTAATAGGCTATCTATTGTAAAACGGGTGATGAGGAAAATGTATTCGCAAAACGCTTTTAATTGTCGGCTGCATTATGGTAAATCATTTTCAAGAATGTACCGTTTCGTAAATTGAAATTAATGGAATTAAATAGCTAAATATAATTTTATGTAATGAATAAAAAAAAAATGCAAATACAGTCTGTAAATTCCGTTAACATGGCAGTCAAATACAACAATAATAATAATACAAAAAAAATTTGAATATTAGCAATGGCAATTTTAAGGATTAGTGGAAATTAATAGAATTATCAATTAAATTGACATTCAAGAGGAAATACATTATTGCCATGCTATGTTAAATAATGGTGGTAGTGGTGAAAAAAAAAAATATGTTCGAATTAAAACAAAGCATTATTTTTATTTATTACACAGGCTACAATTAATTCCATATTAAAATGTCTCCATATTTTCAGTCCTCTGTTTCTGATTCAGGAATGAATAGCAGGTATTATTTCTCCCTCATATTCCGCCCTGTTTCTATCCTCTTTCTTATTTCTGCGCTAAAGTAATTTGTAAAGACTGGAAACAGATTAATTTGGCGCTGGAGCTCACAGAGGACACACGAGGCGCGCGCCGCACAGCAGGGGGCAGTAGGTTAACTAGGTTAACTTCCAGACTTAGAAACCCTCGTGATATTTTAGTCCCAGCAAACATGATGGATTTATAGGAGATTCAGCCCAAGACTGCAGCTAAGTATCAGTGAAATGCACTTATCCAATTCACCAGCAGAAGCCTTTAAACATGAAATTATGGAATTAACTGACAATAAGCTTGCATTGAATTACTGACTCCCATGGCCGAAAGCATAATACATATATAGGCTATACATTCAAATTATAAATAATGAATATTATTGAATAATGAATATAATAAATAATAATCAAGCAGAAGCCTTTAAACATGAAATTATGGAATTAACTGACAATAAGCTTGCATTGAATTACTGACTCCCGTGGCTGAAAGCATAATAAATATATAGGCTATACATTCAAATTATATATATATATATATATATACATGCTATCTCATGCTAAAATTATTTTGAAAATGGAAAAAAAATATTATTCCTTTGTTTCATGATATGCAGAATTGAATACACCCATTTTCCATAATTATTATAATATGACATATGAAAATTTCCATAATATGACACATTCATATGAATTATATATTAACATCGTTCATGTTAAATAGTTGAGTCATATCCTTTATTTAGTTGTTCTGCTGAACAAGGCATTCAAGTGTGAATAGTCTCCTAATTTACATGATCGCATCATGCATTTTAATGCTAAAATTCAAATGCATGCAATAACACATGCCCAAATAAATAATTATGATTATTATACATATTGCACAAAATATGTATATTTTATATACATAATATGAATACTTTATGCCTAATTAATTTATTTAATTTAAAACAGCTTCTTCTTCTTCTTCTTCTTCTTCTTCTTCTTCTTCTTCTTCTTCTTCTTCTTCTTATTATTATTATTCCTAATGTGCAGGAGAAGCATTGCATGCAGTGAGTGAGTTGTGCAGTCATGAACAGTAAATACAATCAGCTGGATTTCCCAACAGAACATTCACTCACTGGCCTTTTAGACCATTGATCAAGTTTTACTGACAAAATCTGTAATTATACGGGTCCTTATGCTCAATAAAGCTGATTACACTGAGAGCAAACACACACACACACACACACACACACACACACACACACAGCTCCTTACAGAGTCAGATTTATGATGCATGCCATCGATTTGGATAGAAGGAAACAAGTATTGATTTTTCATATTTTCTGGAGACGTGTTTACTCCAGGATAATGCAGCGCGGCAGTGGCGGCTCCAGTGAGCAGCGCAGGGATTAGCAGCATTGCCTTTTGATGAGATAAATTACTCAGTGCAACTTCAATAGCCAAAGGGTACGCTTTGATCTTATATTACTTCATTTACCCTTATGACTAAATGATTATTGATTTTATATTCTTAACTCTGAAATGTGAATGCCAGGCAGCTGACAGGGTTTTCTGTGAAGTACAGTTCTCTTTGGCCTGCTCCGTATGCGTGTGTTTGTGTGTGCCTAAATCTTGGAGAGCATGTGTGTGTTTATCTTCCTTATGCATGTGTGTGTGTTGGCAATGCAAAAAAAGACAGTCCTTAAACAGTAGGTTGTTATATAGGCTATTTCAGAAATATATGAAGGTAAACAGATATTGCTTGCTTTGAGCTGTGTCTCCTGTTAACATCCCCCTTGTGTTCCCATCAGTCTGAACTTTGAAACTGAACACTGAGGTGAATCCAGGCTCCTGTGATGCTCACAGTCACAGATATACTGCAGAGTGCAGGGCCAAAACCACAGACACAGAGTCTCCTCAGTACACTGAAAAAAAATGATTCATTGAATTTACAAATTTTTTAAGGTAAGTGGTTGCAATCAATTTATTTTAGCTACATTTAAATAAACACATTTAGTTGACTAACTTTCAACAAAATGTGTTTAAATGTAGCTCAAATAAAATTGATTCATAAACTACTATGCACTTATGCTGAAATAAAATAACTGTTAATTAACTAGTTTAGTTTAGTTTAGTTTAGGTTTAAGTGTGGGTTAAGCAGTAGGAGTGGGAGCAACAGTGTAATTATAGATTCATTACAGATATAATTACAGAAATATATTTATTAATATAAGTGCAATGCAAAAACATGTATGCACACCATAAGTGCATTGTATCGAATTATTAATTTAAATGTAACTGCATAGTAGTTAAAGTCACTTAATATACGGTCAAGATTGAAGACTTGTTTACAGTGCAAGGCAAACTTTTCACCAATTCTTCATGACTTGATTGAGTCTGTATTCTGGTTATCAGAAAGCGTGTGCTTCATGGAAATGTAACGTGAGGTAGCTAAAACGGCCCGCATCAACTTACGTCGTCTTCGAACACCGCTTTGAACTCGCCTTTGAATGCCTGCAAACCCCAGAATGAAGAAGAGACGAGTGTTTGCGTGTCCGTAGGCACCTTAGCCAGAGCTAGGTTCGCTGTTATTTCATAATGTCTCCACAGCGAGCCAGATCTTTCACCAGAGAGAGACAAGTTCAGCCGAGCCGGAGCAAACGAGAGCGCAGATAAGCATAACACAAAAAGCAATTTGTGTGTGTGATAATTGGCGTCTCTTTGGAGGTGCTGGTGCGGTGTGGAGATACAGTGCTCTCTCGATGCTCTCGATCTTTGGTCTTCTCCAGCGGGCCCCGCGGGGCCGAGGAAGGGTGGGCCTCTAATCAGCAGCTATCCATGCACTTGGCAGCGGAGGGGCCAGTGAAAGCCCTGAGCGAGCCTCTGATGAAGTGCGATGCTCCGGCTACAATAGAGTCGTGGAGCGCCGCACACAGTCTCAATTTGTTTAGCATGCCGCAGAAAGCCATGGATGTAAAAGAGCAAGAGCCAGCGGCGTTTCTGCTCTCGCTGTCTCCTCTGCTTGGATTTTTAAATGCAGGAGGAACAAATCAGCAGGATATGGATGCTGCATCAACCAGCGTATTGTGTTCGACGAGAGCCAGCATCTCTGTGTGCTTTAGGTGGCCCGCTGTAACTGTGGATGGCTGTTTTCTCTGATCTGCTCCACGATATCTGAGTCGATGACAAATGAGGATGTCAGTGAAAGGGAGAAATCTGTTCTGTCACATTTTTTGATTTCACACATACTTGAATAATGTTTCAAAATAAAGGTCCTTTGTTATGTAATTTCTTTTTAGCTACATTTAAATAAACACATTTAGTTGACTAACTTTCAACAAAATGTGTTTATTTAAATGTAGCTGAAATAAATTGTTTGCAACCACTTAAAAAAAAAAAAGTAGATTTTTTTCAGTGT